ACCCGTAAGCTGCCGTCAACTTCCACCAAATATTCATAGAACTCGTGCGAAAGATGGTGTCATTATCATCATCGCTCGACTAAACGACTAGGGTACCACGCACTACCGGTATTGTTCTTCTGCAAGTGTCCACGTGATCCGGTCCATGCAGCCATGCATGGCTCTCTTGCCTTGGTGACGGGTGCAGCCCCGCTCATGCGCGGCAAGGCCGTGTCGGTCGCCACGCGCCGCGCCGTGTCACACCACCCTCGTCGTGGGCTCGACACTGATGCCCACCCGGCCGAGATAGAGTCATCATGGCCCTATCTTTGAACGGGGCCGGGCCCGGCAACTCTGTGGCCTCCGTCGCCCCTCCCGCCACCGCGGTTTTGATTATGAGGTGTCTGTTCCATGCAATCAACGGCAAGATCCAGCGGCCGCATTCAAACCAAGAAGCGCCTCGTGCTAAGATTCCATACAAATATCAAGTGGGTGACGACGTTGATCGGGATAGTAACCTATTTAAACCTATATACGGATGCAATGCCTTACGACAAGCCATCTATTACATTAGATAGTAACCATTTGAGACCGAGTCAAGGTATCGTGCTGTCTGTCACCTCGGCATCTCAAATAAAGAAGACGTTTACGGAGGTTGAAGCCCATATGTCAACAAAACACTACGGACACGCGATTAAAAATGAGCGTTTATACTTGATATTTGTATGCAATGAAGCCTTTCTAGCATAAAATAAGCCTGCCCGTGTCGCGCTCGTTGTCAGAATTCAACTTGCGCTTGCGCCAACACCCCGTAGAGTTATGACGATGCCGACCCAATCGCCGTTCTCGATCACGTCGATGCTCAATGACGACAGCTGCATGACGCACTGCCACGAAGACGACTTGTCCTCGGACGACTCGCAGACCACACCGGACGCGCGGCCGCATGGCCGGAAGCGCCAGCGCGACTTGCAGCTCGTGACAACGCTGGCGAGCGAGGCCATGTCACTCGAGTCGACGTTGTGGAAGATGCGCCACGCTGTAAAGGAAAAGATGGAGGCCGCGACGGCCTGGGAGCGCTCGGCGCGCCTCGAGGCCATTGGCCGGCACACGCTGGAAGTTCAGCGCCGCAACCTGCAGCAAACGGTTGTCGCGCACTGCAAGGCGATCCACTCGCTGCAGTCGCACCTCCTCAAGTCGGCGACGCTCTCGTCGATCCCGATGAAGCGACCGCGACGACACTACTTTAGCCCATCGCCGCTGCCCGCGATCGAGCGCGACGACACGATCATCGATGCGTCCAAGCCACACGGCGCCGTCAAGATGGCATCGCTCACGTCCGAAGCCAAGGAGCTCGTCTCGATGCGCTGCCAGCTCATCGAGCGGCTCGACCAAAAGGCTCGGGATGCGTCGCCTTGGGAGCTCAGTGCGCGGCAAGAGGTGGTACCTGGACTGTACGATGAGGATCTCATGGCATCGCTAGACGCTCGACATGCACTCGGCCCTTGTTGAGAACCGCAACTTGAAGGCGTGTCTGGAAGAATACATGAAGTACCTCACTGCGCTGCGCTTCATGCTGCTCAAGTGCCCTCTGGCCAACGACGAGGCCCTGACAACAACGACCATGTAATCTGATGCTATAATTTACGCTGCACTTTGCAGGCTTTTTGATTGGATATCTATGCTACGGCTGTGGCGCCATGGTCGCGCCACGCTTCATGAAGTTGACGCTGTCGTCGGCGTCAGCGTCGAGCTTGGGCATCTTGAACGAGAAGGTCGACATGCGTCCGAACGTCGTCGAGTGCGCGCGCTTCTTCTCGGGCGACGAGTCGGGGCCGCGGTAGTAACGCGGCGGCAGCGTCGGCATGTCTTGCAGGGTCGTCCACGTGGCTGCAACGTTCTTGTTCGTCATCTTGACCATGGGCGAGAACGCGTCATCCTCAAGCACTTCCTTCTTGATGTAGATAGGGGTTGTCGTAGACGGCGACGATGGCGCGGCGCGCAGAGGCGAGGCCATGCTCGAGGATGCCGACGCTCCGGGTGATGGCGACGACGGGAGAGGCGAGGACACTGGCGACGCGGTTGGCGTAGGTGCCAGTAGCATGCGTGCCGCCTGTCGCTTGGGCGTCACAACGGGTTCCGGCTCCGCCTCGATGGGCTCTTCCTTGATGACGACGTCTTCGTCGACCTTCTTGGGGCGAATCGTCTTGGGAGATGGCGATCTCGTCACCACGGTCAATGGCGTCGCGGCGACGGGCGGCAGCGCGATGGGCCCAGGCGGCGGTGTCGAGAACGAGAACGACTTGATCTGGCCTAGCGTGCGCGAGATCATGCGTCGTTTCTGTGGCGAGCTTCGCACGGTCTTGAAGTACTTGGGTGGCAGCGACGTCGCAGGCTCGGGCTTGACGCCGCCAATCTCCTGGTGCGTGAAACTCGCGTCCTTCTTGCGCAGACGCGGCGACGATGGCGGCGAGAACGGGCCAAACTCACAGAACGAGAGCGGCTCGAGGCTCATGGCGTCGAGACTGAACTCGTCCTTGAGGAAGCTGTCGTCGGCAAGGGTCGCGGACGGGCGAAAGATGTCGGCGCCAATGTCCATCTCGAGTTCGTCGACGTCGAGACCGAAGCCATCGTCAGCGTCATCGGTCGAGAGGTCCAGGAGCGACATGCTGCGCCAATTGCCAAGTGCGCAATCGGTGGTGCATGGCGGCCTTCTCCCTACCAAAGTTTATACGACTGCCACGGGCAAAGATTGGTCCATGACAAAAAAGGGTACACACACCAAATTCAACCTGTGAGAGGTCTAAATCCACGCAATTTAAGTGGCAGAGGGAGCTGACGAGCGTTGCTCACACCGCGGCCGGTGGCAAAGGACACGGCAACTGTAAGCAGCTGTACGTATTAAGCTCGCCGTCACCTGTAGCAAGCAATACGCAACCGTGTACAGTAGCCCAGCAGTGTGCTTTTCAAAATCTACGTAGACCACGTCCACTGGGCTGCACTCGCCAAGTGTCCACTATATTGAGTACGCAGTACATCTCGTACACCAACCTATCGCCTCCACAATGCGCTTCCACGGACGTGCACCTCTGGAGCCTCATCCAGGATGTGCTCCAGTGCACCTTTTGTGTCAATCACCTCCTGATCCGAGCCAGCGCGCGTCGAGTTGCGTGTTTTTAAACCTCCCCACGTGGGCATTTGCGCCGACCCCCCTTTTTGTCGCATCGAGGCGTGCGGCAACTCCATCGTTCGACGCTCGCCAAGGTCACTTGCGGTTTGTATGGCCAACTTCGACGTTCAGCGCTCATGTATCTTTGCTGAAGATGATGGAGCGTTGGTATTAGCATTCGAAATGGTTAGAAGAACGGGTTGATGCCTTGGTTGTTGTTGTTGCCCTGCTGCTGCGATTGCTGCTGGGGCGGGAACCCGCGCGCGGGCTGCTGCTGCATCGAGTTCATGGCGCCAAAGCTGCCAAAGCGGTTGTCTTGCGGCGGCGCTTGGCCCATGTTCATACCCATCGTACCGGGTGGGGCCATGCCTGCGTTCGGCTGGCCCATCATACCGCCCATGTTGAACATCGGGCGCGGGCCCGACGAGCCGTTGCTGCCAAAGTTGCCGGGCGCCGGCGCGTTGCCACCCATCATGTTTGGTGGCGGCATGCCATTGAAGCCACCCATTGACCGCGGGTTCGAGCCGTAGCCACCGGGAGCTGCACCACCCATCGAGTTCACGCCCGGTGGAGCACCACCAAAGCCACCGGCGGGCGCACCAAAGCCGGGCTGGCCACCAAAGCCGTTGTTGCCAGGCTGGCCAAAGCCACCAGCGGCGGGTTGACCGCCAAAGTTGGGCTGCCCGCTAAAGCCACCAGCGGCGGGTTGACCACCGAAGTTGGGCTGGCCTCCGAAGCCACCAGCGGCGGGCTGACCGCCAAAGTTGGGCTGCCCGCCGAAACCGCCGGCATTAGGCTGACCGCCAAAGCTGGGCGGACCACCGGCGTTCGGCTGGCCACCAAAGTTGGGCTGGCCACCAAAGTTGGGCTGGCCACCAAAGTTGGGCTGGCCACCAAAGTTGGGCTGGCCACCGAAACCGCCAGCATTCGGAGGACCACCAAAGCCACCGGGCTGACCTCCAAAGTTGGGCTGACCGCCGGGCTGGCCGCCAAAGTTGGGCTGACCACCGGGCTGGCCGTTAAAGTTGGGCTGGCCGCCAAAGCCGGGCATGGGCGCGCCGCCAAATTGAGGCTGGCCCTGGGGCATCATGCCACCATACGGGTTCGGAGGCGCCGCCGGTGGCCCGAAGCTGGCCATGATGTTGTTCTTCGCGGTTTCGTGTGTCGGTGGCGCAGGCGCTTGCAAGAACGCGTCACCAGACGGAGCCTTGGACTGACTGCCAAACTGAGAGCTGCCCGTAAAGCCGCCCCAGTCGTCTTGCTTGGGGGCGGCGGCCGCGGGGGCGGGCGGAGGCGGAGCAAACGGATCGAACGGGGGGTTGGCCGGTGCGCCGAAGTTGCCAAAGGTTGATGCTGTGGCCGCAGCAGCGGGCGCTGCCGAAAAGTCGCCAAAGTTGAGAATATCGGCAGCAGGGGCGGCCTTGGGTGCGGCCTTGGGGGCTGCCTTGCCGCTGCCCGTTCGTCGTGACGGCGCTACGTTTGTTGCGAATCAGACGTTTTTCTTTCATGCTGCAGGTACATACCCGGCTCGCGCTCTTCTTCGGACGCTTCGCTTTCGTATTCTTGCTTCTTGGCCTTGCCGCTGCCCGTTCTCCGGGCGCTCGGGCCGTCGTCGCCTTCACGGCCCACAAATCGCTTGCGTTCGTACTTGTCGCGAATCCACATTTCCTTGTCACGCACGGACGAGTGCTCTGTCGGGATGCGGTAGTCGCGCGGGACGCAGGCTTCGTAGTACTCTTTCGCCTTGGCGTTGCCCCATTTTTGCATTTGCTACACGCGTGGGCTACATGAGCACAGATCGTCCTGCCTGCATCATGGACGTACCGTGACTTGGTCGGACGTCCATGCGTCCAAGTTGACACTGCGCACAAACGTGAGGTGTACGCCGAGGCTGCGGTGGATGCCCGAGCACGCAATGCAGATGAACACGCCGAGGTTGATCGACGCCCAGCGCGGGCCGCGGGCGCCGCAGTCGGCGCAGAACCTGTTCTCGTCGCGCTTCATGAGCTCATCTAAGATCTTCTTGAGCTTCGTCTGGTCGTCGGGCTTGCCCGACTTGGTCTTCGACGCCATGGCCAAATCGAGAATAAAAGACGCTGGCCGAGCAGCGGTGTGAAACACCTCAACGTCACACGATTCAATTACATACAAACGCCAAGATATCAATAAATGTGCGATTAAAAATAGATCCATACAAAGCCCATGTACCCCGCGAAACGAACGCCAGTCACCTCGACCGCCGATCGAATACGTGGCAGCCCTGCAGTGGCCTCTCAGCTCTTATTTGGGTGCCCGAGCTCGTAGGCCTGTCGGTGGAAGGCTACGGGACGTCGCGCGTCTGCGCCCCACGTCACGGGCCAGCGTATCTTTTGCATTCTGTTCTGTGGCAACCCCTTTGAGTACACTGTCTGGTTGCTGGTGGAGATTCTGTGTGCGGGACGATCGTCGGGCGCGACGAGGATCTTTTATCACTCGACGAGCGCCATTTCGTAGACGCGCTAAAGTCAACACAGACGTCCTTGGGCCTCTCGTGTCGCCAAGAGTCAGTCGCGCACCGACTAGGCTTACGTGTCGCTCGCGCTTCAACCTCCGGCTTGGAGTTGAAGTAACACTATTTTATATTTCGTACACGAAATGAAAACGCCAATATCGTGTGCATCTCATTTTAGTGTCACGCTTCCGAGGATAAAGTTGCGCTCGCATGACGGTGCACAAGCCCAACAAGCGACGCGACAGCGCAACGAAGCGCCAGCGCAGCAAGCCGCCGCCAGAGACGCCCTCGAGCCGCCCGCCGCTACCGCCTCTGGAGATCCATGCGCCGCCAGCAGCTGTCGCGATTACGAGCCCGATCATGATTGCCGCGCGGCCGCCACCGCTGGTGATCCCGCCGCTGTCGATGCCCGCCGCCGCACCGACGCCACGCCGGACGCCATCGTCGCGGCCGTCGTCGCCTCGACAAAAGGTCAACCTCGCGCCGCAGCGCGCGCTGCTCGTGGACTTTTTGTACCGCGAAGTGTTTGGCATCATGGAGATCAAAGAGAGCGAAGGACCGCACAACCAGCAGCGCGTCGTCAACTTTCTCAAGTCGTTTGTCGAAATCGAAAAGCTCGTGCTCTACGGCCTCCTCCTCTGCATCGACAGCTTCATCTACGTCTTCACGTACCTCCCGCTGCGCATCGTCCTCGCGCTCGGCTCGGGCGTCGTCTCGATCTTTTACAAGCGCACGTTCCGCCGGTCGCACATGCACGACATGCTCCTCGCGATCATCATGGTGCTCAGCACGAGCGTCTTGTACCAAGTGGACATGTCCCGCGTGTACCACTTGATCCGCGGCCAAGCACTCATCAAGCTCTACGTGCTCTTTACGATGCTCGAGGTCGATATAGTCGTCGACCATATTTCGCTCAAAATCGGTGTAGATTGTCGACAAGCTCTTTTGCTCGCTGGGCCAAGACGTGCTGGACGCCATGTACTTTACTGTCAAGTTCCAGCCGCGCCGCATTGGCCGCATGACGTTTGACTTCACCATCTGCAGTCTCTACGTCGATATCCTTTTCCGACTCGTCTTGTCTTGCTAGTTCGTTTTGTCGTCTTCTTGCTACAGCTCGATGTGTACTGCTGCACTCGCTCCTCCTCTTTGGCCAGGTCGTGACGATGAACGTGGCGATCCACTCGAGCTCGACGTCGCTCCTCACGCTCCTCATCTCCAACAACTTTGCCGAGCTCAAGGTCCCCCCGATTTCCGAGTTCTTTTGTGTCCGATTAGACGATATGGATGTCTAGACAAGTGTGTTCAAAAAGTTTGAGGAGCAAAACCTCTTTCAGATTGCATGCAGCGGTACGTCTGGCTAAACAAACGCAGATGCGTCACTCGGGTCGTAGATATCGTCGAGCGGTTCAAACTCATGCTCATCATCGGCCTCATCTTGCTCCAGTCCGACGGCAAGGACGTGGCCGATGGCACGGTAGCTCATTCCTCGGCAACGCAACCGATGCACCGTCGCTTCGTAGGCCATGGTACTGCTAGCCGAGATGCTCATCGACTGGATCAAGCACGCATTCATCACCAAGTTCAACCAAATCCCGCCGAGCGTCTACTCCAAGTTCATGACGATTCTGTGTCGGGACGTCTCGGGCTACCGGAGCGACTCGGTCTTTCTTCTTCTCAGAAGAGTCGTCACTCACGTCAGATCGCATAGACGATCCAAGACCACACGCAGTTTGTATCGCGCCGCCTCGGGCTCATCTCACTTCCGCTTGCGTGCGTCACGGTGCGCATGGTGCACGAGGCGCTCAAGGACGCCGAGACGGCCGCGTCGCTTGAGGGCGACTGGGCGTTCACCATGTCGCGACCTGCGTGGGCGGTCATCCTAGTGCTCGCGTTCGTTTGCCTCAGCGCCTTCAAGGTCGTCGTTGTCGATCCTGCCATCGCGTCGATTATGGTCGGCTAAGGATGCTTCGCATGTAGGTTTTGCTTAGTCTCTGGCTCATGGTGCATGCGTGTCTCTCGGGGCGCCTGAGCTCGTCGTGGAAGTCGGCCCCACCCTCGTCGCCCCGTGCCCGTGCGCCGCGAGAGTCCGTGGCCACGCCGGTCGCCGATCCCACATCGCGCTTCTCCATCTAAGTCCCAACCGGGCGCAAAAGGACGACTGCATTCGAATCGAGTCAATCTCTGTCTATCGCTCTCACAAGACGTGGCCGACAGGACCCATGGGCTGGGCATGCACGGACGGCAGCACCACTTCTTGGGTGTCGAGGAACGTCGCTTCGTACACGTTGCCATCGTATGCGTACCGAATGTACCTACGCACGCAGCACTATATGAGGCACTGATGATGGAAGCGGCACTGTAGCGCACAGCTGCGGGCCATTCGTCGGCACTTGCGGGTCGTAGAGACCAATGCACGGGTCGTAGAACCCGAGCAAGCCGGCCTTGGACGTGGCTTGGAGGTGCAAGCACCCGTCCTATGTGGCATGGTCTTCCTCGTGGTCCTGCACACCTCATATGTACCTGGAGGAAGAAGCGGAGCGGGATTGTCACGTCGATGTTGACATCTTCGATCGACGACGGAAGTCCATCTTGCGCCGTCTACAGGCCGCGACATGCAAACACGGCAAGGGGAACATGGTGCAATGTACCGTCGGGTGCTTGCCGTAGCGCGCGACCAGAATCTCAATGCCGTGCTCGGTCGCCTCCTTCGTGGCGGTGCGGGCCATGAGCGTTTGTTGCGCAAGCGCACAGCGCCGGGCTTCCATGAGGTACGAGATGCGACGGGCGTGTTCCGACTGCACTTGGCTAGTTGCAATATCAACTTGATACCTTGTTTCATAAAACCTCTGGCATACCGCTGTTGCTTGCGCTTTTGCGCCGGCCGAAGCACTTGGCGCACGACGGCTGAGAGCACAAACGGTAGCGTCGCCGCAAAGAACGTGTTCCAAGCCGTCGCGGCCGAGAGCGGGGCGATCGCGATTGGAATCGCAAACCGCACGTTGCCCCGCGCGAGTCTACCATTTTACGAATAGTATCAAGGTGTCAAGACATCGATAGGGCCGACCCGAAGCGAAGGTTGATGCCTTGGAGCGCGAGACGCAAGGCGATGCTGACGCGGCTCCGGCGCGACACTTGGGACGTGGTCGTGAGCACCATGCCGACGTTGCCGAGGCTTGCATCGACACCGACCTTGGCCGACGTGTGGGACGTCACTTGCTTCTTGAGGTTCACGCCAAGATGCGGGCCGTCGTTCTGGATCGCGAGCGACGTTCCGGCCTCCATCGACTCGTCCTGGTACTGCAAGCTCGACTTGAGACCGTCATGGATGCTAAAGAGCATGCTCGCTATATATCGCACTTCAGTATCAATGTATCAGGATGGCAAACGTCGTACCTTGCAGCGGCAGCGTGGGCGAGAGACGCAGCGCGTGGTGCACACCGACCGTCATGTCGAGGCCGTCGGTCGTGAGCTCGGGCATGAGAAAGCACGACGTCGTCGACGACATGGGTTGCTCCTACAGACGCGAACAGCGTCACATTATAGAAAACACGAGGAAGAGAGGTACGAGGTGCACGCTGAGCTTGGGCGTCCAGCCCATCTCGGACGAGAGGTATATCCGCAGCGCGGCTGGGTCGGCCGTCACGTAGTTGATGCCGCACGTGAGCGCGCCGAGGCCGAGGCCGTCCTTGTCGTAGAGGTACCCGCCAAGCACGACCGTGGTGTGTGGCGACACTTGGATGTTGGTCGATTGGCGCATGACCATTTGCGAGATGCTGAGCATGCGGTGGTCCTTGTTGAAGATCTGGCGCAGCGAGAAGAGCGGGAAGCGCACAAAGTCGGTCGCGTCAATGCTCACTTCGCAGTCGGTATGCGAGAGGAACTGCGCCTGGATATGCTTTTCGTTCCAGCGGCGCAGCAAGATGCGGACGCGCTCCTCAACGTCGGCGTCCTTGGCCACATACGTACCGAGCGTCCAGTCGGCCGTCTTGTCCTCCTCAAGCGCCAAGACGCCCCGCTCGCCGTAGTTGTCGTAGGCCAAGCGCAATGGCGCCGACGAAAGCACCTTGTACGCGCGGTCCAAGCGCGGGTACTCTTGGTTCGCCTCGTCCGTGTGCTTGGTCTTGTCCGGGTGGAACTCGCGGCTCAGCGCGAAGAAGGCCTTGCGCACCTCGTCCGCGGTCGCACTCCGGCTCACGTTGAGCGCTGCGTAGTAGTCGACCTCGGGCGTCGCCTTGAACCAGACGCGGGGCAGCGGTTCGTCGGCCATCAGAGTCGTCGATTGGGGAAGCCACTGGCCCGTATAATTATCCGGATGGTATCCGCATACGAGCGCAAGTGCATGCTCATGCTCGTGGCAGCGCCGCCGCCATGCCGTTGGGGTCGAGATCGCATTGCGCTAAGATCTATTATAATAAACTACTAGTCGTCCATTTCCGGGCACAAGAACGTGGCTTCGACGAGGCCGTTCAAGCGGGCTTCGCGCGGGTTGAGCGGCGCGAGGAGGTCCGTCTCGGTCTCGCGCGACTTCATGAGGCAGTAGAAGCAGACACGGACACGGCACGTTTTAGCGTCGTTCAGGCCCGTGGGCACGTGCACTTTGGTGTTGCATTTGCGGCAAATGACTTCGCCGCACATGCGGCAGTGGTGGCGCCGGAGCATGAGCCGAAACGTGTCGGTGCACACCGAGCACTCGGTCCGGTCCGTGTCGCGGACCCACTTTTCAGTGCCAATGATTGCGAGCTTGGCGAGACGCATGCTCTCGGCGTAGGTGCGGATGTTGATGAGCCGGTCGATCACGTGGTCGTGGAAGGCTTGGAGCTTGGGCCGCGACGTGCCCGGGGCCTTCCAGTCAATGTGCGCTGCATACGTCACCTCGACCACGTGCGGCGTCGAGGTTTCCATGACCAGATATGCTTCGCAGCGAACCGACGCGCGGGAATACCTAGCATATTGCTCATGAGTTTTGCTCCGACTCGAATTGTCTGTCCGTACTCTGGCTTGGGGGGGCAGACGCCGAGGCGAATGGACTCGACGACGCGGTACCCCATCCACGAGTCGTCGTCCATGCGCGAGACGTCCGTGTAGTCGAGGCTCACAAAGTCAAAGGTGTGTGGGTGGTCGATCATGCCCTTCACGGCCATCCATTTGAGGCCGCAATGGAAAAAGTTGCCCTCGCTGCGAATGAGGTCGAGCACCTTGGCGTCGACGACGTGGTCGCCCATGATGATGCGCTGGTTGGCGAGAAACTCGTCCGAGGTCGGGCTGCACAGCAGCTTCATGACGTCCTTGACGGTCCCGTTCACGCGCACAGTGGCCCGGACGTCCTCCCAGTGCAATGGCGACGCAAAGACGTCGACGCCGAGCTTGGACTTGACGAGCGCGCGTGCGACCGACCCGTCCTTGGAGGCAAAGTCCAGCGCCGCGTGTTGGCGCGACTGGATGTAGCGGTAGCACGTCGACTTTTCGGCGGCGCTCAGCAGCGACGAGCGCTCGTGGATGACCGGCGGCGCCGCCGACGACCGCGCGGGTCGGTCGTAGACCGCCGAGATGCGGTCATCGACCAGCACGACGCTCTTGGTGCGCGACGTCGGCGGCTGGCGGCGCGGCTCGTCCCGGACGCCGCTGGCAATGCTATGGCTCTTCCCTCGCAGCATCGACCCTCTCGCAACACTGGCCAATTCGAGACTGACGGGCGGATTTCCCACATGTGAAAAATTCTCCACCCTGTTACACAGCGTTGCGTGCGATGTGGGGGCCCTACCAGAAAACCAGCTGGTTTGCGCTCTCCCGCAAGCTCTGCCACTGCAATGCCGAGATCGTTTGCCAGCTGCTCGCATGCAAGCTTCCTCACCTCACGACGCAGTGTCTCCTGTGAGTTATGCATGCGAGGCCGAGCGACAGGGAGCAACCGCCTCTGTGGTACGATCGCACCTGCATCTCGCTGCGGTGGTCGAACCCACTGAACCGATTCCATTCCAAGCGCCAAAATGACGTGGCACGCGGAGAGAACGCATCTCATCTCCTGCTGGACCTCATGGATCTCGCGCCGCACAGTGTCGACAAAGAGGAATGCGATTCCGACCCCGCCACGCACATTTCACACGGTGCTTGAAGCGGGAGACAACAAGATGCATGGGACGCTGGACGTATGTGTACAGGCGAATGGATGTCTTGCCCGCAAGAGCTTCGCGACGTTCCTTCTGCACCCATGGACGAGCCACGTTCGTTGGCGACCGACGTGTGCAACACGTTATCGACGCCTTGCCACGCTCGCTCGGTCTTTCGACTGCTCACTGGTTCGACTCAGAGTGGGCGTGGAGAGCCTGTAGGCGGACCGGCTCTGCTTGGAATCGCTTGTTGACAATGATCAATGCAGCTGTATTCCATCACGTAGCCCCACCTGCGCCAGCAGTACCGGTACTCCCTCCAGTGTCTTTGTATATCGTTATACGATATCGGCTCGGGTGGTGAGGCGGTGCTCGACAAGCGGCTTACGCGGTAGGTACGACGCGCGTAGTCCCATTGAAGCAACCTACTAATAGCTCGGTCAACCGTCAATAGGCTGCACGCCGCAAGAGGCTGGCGTAAAGCAGTCGCCTGTTCCAGCACGTACTAATTCGATCGAATGCTGGACTCGTGCGACGCACCAGGTAAGTTGGAACACTGATAAGGTTTTGTCATCCTCGCACTGGTACTGCTACACGGGATCTTGGCCAGAGAGCTCTGGCGTGGCAGCCTTGTTGAAATGAGTTATCAACATGAAATTAGAAAGATGGAAATGGCGGACTTCCTAATGCGCTCGTGACTGTTGTGTCAGGCTGCGGTTGCATGGTTTTGGTTCCGGATTGTGCGGGGGACGAGGTAGCGATCACACCAAGGGTCGGCGCGAAGAGCGTTGAGCGACTCGGCAAGCGATGGCACCGACGAGCCAAGTGCCGGACATGCAATCGTGTAATAGTAGCTACCTTGATCGCGAGCGCAGCAGCGGGAACGTTTGTCAACGTCGTGCGTGCCAGCCTTGTCACCAGAACGCCAGCCACCACAGCCAAGAGCTCGTACAGGGTACCATGCTTCTCTCAGCCACGCTACCGACAAAGCCTTCCTGTGGCAAAGACGAGGTAATCACGACGGACGCGTCGAGTAGCATTGCAAAAGGATTGTATTTGTATCGACATGGACGCCGA